GATAGATAGATAGATAGATAGATAGATAGATAGATAGATAGATAGATAGATAGATAGATAATTTTTCACAGTCCCAATGTCAATCTACATAATAACATCCATTTATCTATACACCATGTTAGGTGGCAGGGTTTGGTTATTTGCCACAGGGGCTAAGCTAATGTGCCATCTTGCCTTTTTATTTTATGAGTTCCTACTATTGTGGTGGGATGATGGTGCCTGCCTGGCATGTTTGGGGCTCTCCTGCTTGGAGGTGAGTGGTTCTGCTGCCAGGAAATTTGAGCAGGCAATGGGCCACTATGGGGGCCTTGTCCTTCATTTAGTCTTCACACTTGGAGGTGAAGGCACGGTGGTGCTTGAAGTGTTTGGTTCCCCACATCTCACCCTTTACCGCTATAGTTTCTCTCAGCTTCTCCGAAAATTGACCTCTCTGTGGTGCATATGGCTGCTCTTTAGGGGTGCTTTATGTCTCTCTGCCAGGGGGCAACTGCAACCTTTACGGACCCTGATCCACCTCTTACTTGCAGCTCTTGGTTGCTGAGTGTTTCAGGCTTTCTATTGCTCACGTTACACTCAAAGTTATGCAACTTCAGGTGACAAACTCTAATAATTACTAGAGTTAGTTGATGCCCATATAAACATTCCTCTTAAGTGCATGAAAAGGGAATTTAGGCTTTCAAATTCAGAGTTTCAAACATCAAAAGTATATAAGAAAGCAGTCCAAAAGGTCTGGAGTTTTACCACGCTGCCCTTAAGTCTGCTCCAAACATTATTTATTCCACCTTTCTGCTTATCAGTAAATAAAAATAAAAAAAACCTTGTAATAAACTGAGTTATAGATTTCTGTGTTTTTCTTTTTTCAGGTTGACTATAAATGCTGAGTGCCAGTTGCAACTACACAACTTCCCAATGGATGAACACTCGTGCCCGCTCATCTTCTCCAGCTGTGAGTATTCAGCTAATACCTTTTCTACATTTTTTTTTTACAGCTGCAAGGTTACTGCACTGTTGTACTATGGCTTTATAAAGGTATTGAAACAGGCAGTGTTGGGCATGATGCTTAGAGCTGTGGTTAGTGAAGCTATAAGTTATTCTACATTAAATGAATCTTCACTACAGTGAAGCTACCCACAAGAAAAATGTAGCAAGCCAAGCTACAATAAAATGACAAAATTAACTTAACTACATCAAAGCTTCTTTTAACATCCAACTTACTTCATTCTAAGTCATTGATATGTGGTGATCAAAGAAACTATGACAAACAGATCAGTTCAGTTAAATTATTTATTAAACTCAAAAAAACTAATACATTCAAATATAACTTTACAATTCAGGTATAAATGAACACTTCATTCTGAGATATTTGGATAATCACACATCTTACAACCACAACAGTGTTGTGTTGTAAGATGTGTCTCAGACTAATATAGCAGCTGTCAGTGAATTAGTTATTGTAGACCAGTCTTAACTATTAATTCAATCATCAACTGACCTCATTGCTTTTTGTTTTGATTCATTTTAAGTGGCTAAAGTAACTGTCAGGGTGTGGTTGAGGTTGAGGACCCAGATGCAGCGGCAGAGAGGCTGAGGTGATTTCTTGTAGATTTAATCAAAGGAAACAGTTTAACAAAGACAGGAATCCAAAAATCAACTAATAATCTAGAACAAACCAGAACTATGGAGACATCTGGGGAAACCAAACAGGAGGAGCCAGGGAGAGACGAGGTAGGCAGACAACAGCATGGGGGGACAGCAATGATAAGGAACCAACAAGGAGTGACAGCAGAGGCAGAGAATATATAGCTGACTGAGACAAAGGCAGGGCTAATGAGCAGATGAGGAGCAGGTGTGAGAGGAGACAATGAGGCAACCAAGGCGAAAGGAACACACACACACACACACGAGGGCAACAGAAAAACATGAGAACTAACATAAATCTAGAAATTACAGCAAAACAGGAATTAAACCAATAAAACTAGGAAACATGGAGCAAAGTTAAGCACAACAGAAACAAGACCATGACAGTAACCAGTTTATTTCTATTTTTTTGGATTATGCAGTCTCTATGGAGCTGTGTTAGTAGAATATATCTTGCCCTATTTTTATTACTGCCTTCTACACAAATATTATTTATCTATATAAATTGACCACAGTTTTGTTTTGTATTAAAAAAAAACACTGAACAAACTACGGCTGTACACACTCACTCACTCACACACTCACTCACTCACTCACTCACTCACTCACTCACTCACTCACTCACTCACTCATGTTTTTGGCTCGTGCTATGTTAGATGATAATAATAATAATAATGAATTTTATTTATAACGCACTTTACATTTGACTTCAAATCTCAAAGTGCTACATTAAAAAAGGGAAAATTAAAACAAGTTTAAAAGACCATAACATTAAAAACAGAGTAAAAAAATCAATACATTAAAAGGCATACGTAGCCTATTAAAAAATCTAAAATCAACAATTGTAGGCATTTCTAAAAAGAAAAGTTTTTAGTCCTTTCTTAAAACAGTCCACCGTCTGTGGGGCCCTAAGGTGGTCTGGGAGGCTTCGAAGGCCCTATCGCCCATTGTTTTTAGCCGTGTCCTGGGTGGGGCCAGACGGTGCTGTTGGCCTGACTGGGTCCGGGAAGAGGTGTGTGGTGTGAGCAGTTCAGTGAGATACGTGGGGGCCGCTCCGTGCACACAGTGATGGGTGTGCAGAAGAATCTTGTACTCTATACGGGCGTGAATGGGCAGCCAGTGTAAAGTGTGAAGGATGGGAGTGATGTGCTGGTGTTTCCTCACCCTCATCAGGACCCTGGCAGCGCTGTTCAGTACTTACTGGAGCTTCTGAAGGCTCCTGCCAGAGATCCCGACGAGGAGAGCGTTGCAGTAATCCAGCCTGGAGGAGACGAAGGCGTGGACGAGCTTCTCTGCAGCAGGGAGGGATAGGGAGGGGCGGAGTTTAGAAATATTACGGAGGTGAAAGAAGGACGTTTTGCAGATGGAGGTGACATGATTGTCAAAGGAGAGGTGGGGGTCAAGCTTGACCCCAAGGCTTGTAACAGAGGGAGACAGGGGAATGGTATGACCACAGAATGAAACAGAGGTGAGAGGAAAGGAACGAAGTTGATGAGGAGTACCAGTTTGGATGGCCTCTGTTTTTGAGGCATTAAGCTGCAGGAAGTTTTGACTCATCCATGCCTTTATATCCTTCAGGCAGGAGCTAAGGCGGGTGAGGTTTGCTGGCTGAGTTGTGTTTACTTGGGCAAATGCCCGAATGCAGCTGCATGTGTTCTTAAATTTATGTTGGACGTCTTGGACCTGAGGACGGTTGTGCCTCTGCCTCCTGCCCCTCCATTGCTTCCAGCTGATCTGGTACCTAAACCAGTCTAAACCAGCTGCATTAGATCATCCTCCTGGGCATATTTTTGCACAAAGTCTAGAGCGGAAAAACCAGGATGATACTGTAGGTACAGAAAGTTAAAAGGCTGGTATACTCCTGTGATGTCTGCATCAGGAATATACACAGGACAGATGTGTTTAAGGTCTAGAAATGCCTGGAGACAGAAAGCTCCTGTGGACCTTACCATGGTACTCAGCCAACAAAAGGAGTTTCACTACTTAAAAGCTTTTTAATTTAGAAAACAACAACGTTATGACCACGCTACTGAGAAATCTAGTTAAGGTAGTAACGGCCCTACATGTAATTGCACTATGTGTAATAATGACACACACCTGTGGCCAGACTGCCAATGGCAGCAATCTAGATATTCTTGATATACTTTGGTATTAATTTTACCATTCCAATTTTTAAAATGAGTTTTATTGTATATATAAAGGATTTAACAAAAGTAGAATGTTTTATGTCTACAAATACTGAATCAGTTTTATGGAATTATGGAGTCTCTTCACAAGCAGATGCTTTCCCCACCTGGAAAAAAAAAGGATTGATGACTGTGCTGCCAGGCACCATGGCGATTTCTATACCATGCTCAGAGAGCATCGTGTTCATTTGTCAGAAACTGCATTGAAGCTGTTTCATTTGTTTGGAAGACTTTGTGAATGAAGATAGAACATCTATTTATCTAGAAAGGTAAGGGAATGTATGGTTACGTAACACAGCTGGTGGAATAATAATACAATAAATAGCTGTAATCTTAACAAACGAAATGAATAAAACTGTCAGATTTTGGGTTTGACTTTTGAAGAAAATAGACAACCCTTGTTTTTTTTAGCCTATTTAATTATTACAACAAAGAAAATAATCTAAACAAGCAGCAGTTTTATACAAGAAATTTCAGCTCTTTCTGGCAATCTTCCTTTTCTCAATATTTTATCATTTAATTCCAGAATAACAATACTTTCATTATTTTTAGGGAAAGGCCTTGATTTCCTTAATTGTATGAGATCATTGACCTCTGCAAAGGTCTGAAAATCATCCCGTCAATGCTCCAAACATTGATCTACATTTAAAAGTGGTTTTTCAGAAGTTTTAATGTACCACTGGTGCTGATTAATGTCTTTCAGTAAGCTAAGATTAAAATACTGGAGGTATCTTGGGATCTTATGACAGCTGATAGTGTCAGTTATAAAAAATAAAATAAAAAATCAGGCAGAAAAATGCAATCAGTGCTCACCTTATTAGTACTTGTTGATACAACTTTGCTGGTGCTCTTATTTGTCCAGAAGAAGTCAGATTGTAGCGTGCATCTGCAAAAACACAATTTTGTTTGCAGCATGGTGTGGAACTTAGTGATTTTTGAATCAGAAAGTCGAGGTTTATTTTCAGTAGGTCTGTTTCAAGTCACCCCACATCAAAGCAATCAGTTTTGGGATTGGACACAGACCCGAATTTTCCATGTACAGTAGTATTTTTTCTCCAGCTCTTAGTGGATTTATGTTTTGAACCACTATCATGTTGCAGGGATGAAATTTCAGCTTTTAATGATTATAACAATGTTTTCTTTTTTTTTTTTTTTCACTTAATTTTTATTTGAATTTTTGCAACATACACAGACATATACATCCAAGCTCACATTCAGGCTGCTGCTCTATACGGTATACTTAAAAAAGAACAAAACTTTGAAAGTATATACAACGAGTTAAGCTTACAAGTAGAGTAAGTCACATGGTTAAACATTAGTAACTTACAAACATAAATGTAGTTAGTAATTAAATAAGCAGCACCAATGGAAATAACAAAATTAAATCGAAAATAATAAGTAAAGATAAAAAAGTATAGTAGAAATAGAATAAAATGAAGAAAAAGAAATATATATATATATGAATAAATAATAACTTTGGTTTTAAATGTTATATAACCAGTATTTCTCAAAAGGTTTGAAATTGGTAAAATATCTGAATTCAAGTAAGTCAGAAAAACTTGTATGAAGTGTTCTATAGTTTTAAAACCCTGTTTTTTGGGATGTTTCTGTCATTTTTTTGTCCGTCTCAGAATCTTTCTGTAAAGCAGGCATCCCCAAACTCGGTCCTCAAGGGCCCCTGTCCTGCAGGTTTTAGAGGTTTCTCTGCTTTAGCACATCTGATTATGATGATTGCAGTAGAGCAAAAGCCTGTTAATCAACTATCAATTAAAATCAGCTGTGCTGGAGCAGAGAAACATCTAAAACCTGCAGGACAGCGGCCCTCGAGGACCGAGTTTGGGGATGCCTGCTGTAAAGTATTGAGTTAGTTATTTTTTGCTCTGTTGCTTAAAAGGAACTTTTTGAAGGCTATCAGTTCATCAATAGCTCCTGCAACAATGGTGCTTTAAGTATTGAAAAAGCAGGTTGAAAATCTTGAGGTGGGATAATGTAACATCTTCTGTGGCACTATAGTAACATCAAAGTCACTCAGTGAGCTTGCACCCTGTGTACCCTATTATAGCTTTAAACCTGCTTGCTGGACAGCCTTGTCTGAGGAACCATCCTGCTGTGATCCATTATACACATTTCCTTACCAAAGAACAGTCCACGGGTTTCCATGGTAATGTCTCTATTGGAGAAAGTCTGATTTTATTCATTGTCAGAGCCATCATAACTATCGGGTTCTAGGAACAATTAAACACCAAGCCGAGGTCACAGAAATAGAGGTTAATCTTTTTTTAAGTTTGGTTTGTTAAACTAACTATATTTTGAAAATTGCTTTCATTTGTGATTTATAAACTACAGTGGGATTGAACCTCAACTTATTCTTTAATAACAAAGGTTTAACATGCCATGCATGTGTGGTTTTGACCGTCATCTTGGGGATGGAACTTGTTTTGAGAGGGTTTTGACTCTTTTTAGATCAGTAGACATCAGTAGCTTTGTTTCATGAATTCTTGTCGATCAGTTCATGATTTGAGGTTGTTCAGCCTGTTTCTTGCTGTCAGATTTTATTTCAGTAATATTTGATTTAATTGGTGGTTTAGTTGTTGAAATGACCATAATTCCAGTTAATTTTACGAGTAACTGGGTCATCGGCAATGGATGAACACTCATGCCCGCTCATCTTCTCCAGCTGTGAGTATTCAGTTAATACCTTTTCTAAATTTTTTTACAGCTGCAAGGTTACTGCACTGTTGTACTATGGCTTTATAAAGGCATTGAAACAGGCAGTGTTGGGCACGATGCTTAGAGCTGTGGTTAGTGAAGCTACAAGTTATTCTACATTAAATGAAGCTTCACTACAGTGAAGCAGAAATCATAAGGTCGGGAGAAAATCCAACATTTTTGGTTTTCAGTCGGCTGTCGTGGGCAAATAACTCAGTGGGCAAAGAAGGATTCTTCTCCTTCTCAGATGAAAAAACAAAAGCATGGCGGGGTGCAAGAGAAATTGAGTTCTTTATGTTAAATTGAGAGACCGTAGTAGCCACGTTTGCTGCCAAGGCAGCGCGTTTCACTCTAGTGAGCTTCATATTCCTCTTTTACTCATTTGGCTTCCGGACAGACAAGTCCAAGTAGCGCCATCTCACTGAGGAGTCTGACGTGGTTTTAGACGTACAGTCTGAGCAGGTAGATCGCATCAGAGCATCGGGTCGCACAGTGTGAGAACATACATTGGGAGCTGTGTACTCACACTGTACGAGGGTTTCGTCGTACAGTGTGAGCTGTAGCTGCTTGCAACGATTGAAAAAATCGCACAGTGTATGCCCGGCTTTAGTTGCTTAGGATCTGTGTTAGTTATCGGCATGAGAGGATCATTACGAATGCTGTACTAATCCTGGTTGAATTTTTCTTTAAAAAGTGAAAATGAAACAAAACAAAACAACCTTGCAATAATTTTTCATTTAAGAATCACAGTAGGACCCAGTTATTAAGTAGAATAGGACACAAACCTGATAGAGAAAATACAAGAAAAAATAAGCTTAAATAACCTGATAGTATGACAGTAAAAGCAATTTTGAAATAAACTTCAGCATTCAGGTAGCTTTTCACATCTCAACTTTGTTAGATTTTCCCAATTCTTTTAGCAAAGGTTCAGATTGTGAGAACATTGCAGTGCTGTTCAGTTGACTCCACAGTTTTTTGGTCAGATTACTTTCTGGACTTATTTCTTGGCCATCCTTAAAGTTTATTTTTCAACTAGCAAAGCTGTTTTTGTTGGTTTAGTTGGACTTTTTCAGAATGAAAGATGAACACATGACTGAACTCAGCTCATAATTTCAAAGACCCTACTTCTTAATGCAGATATATGAAGAATACAGCAGATAGTGAACACATAGCGGACACATGTAAAACACAACCAGTATTTACCAGAAATGCCTGATCATCCCTCAGGGGTGCTCTTAAAACGTTTGCAACTTTTCTGAGCAGTTTCTATCATATTTTGTAGAATTATTTTGGATCTAGATAATGTCCCCGTTGTCATATTATCTTTATTGGGCTTTGGTATAACATTTGACTTATTCTTTTAAGATGTGAGCTCATATTGAACCTCTGTAACCTCTCCATAAGCTATCATGTGGACTAAAGGGTTGTACTTTTCTAAGATGAACTGTGTCGGATTAATCAGATGAATTTAACTGATGAAAGTTAAATCTTGAAGTATTCATGTGCAATTTTTTGCAACCAGGTCGTTGGACTTACTGTATTCATATTTCTTCATCCTAAAATTTACTTTTTGTGTTATTGTGTATGCATGTATGTGCATGCATACACCCTGGATTTGCATTACTACTAAAAAGGGATTGTAGATAATTTATCCAACAGTTGATTTAAACAGGGGGTCATACACCTTTGAGTACTAGAGTACAATTTGGTCTTTGCTCCATGTTTGAACTAGTTTAAGAACCAATACTGTAACAGTATGCCAAATCTATTTAAAGGGACTTTTATTCAATAAGAAAAAGCAAATGTAAAGTTTGGTCTACCTTTTACTGTACCCTCTAGAAGGCTGTGTAGTCTCAAACTATGTTGTGGATCTTTGCATAAATTGATCAATATGCAAATGAGCTGCTGAATGTTTAAGCACAGAATGTATTTTTTTTTTTTTTTTTTTTTTTAAACAAAAGAAAAAAAAAAAAAAAAAAGCACAGAATGTAGAAATTAGATAATTTTTCATCCTCATTTTTCATAACTATCTACGTATTGTGTTTGATTAAATGAAATGGATAGTATTAACTGTGAATTGATTATCTTCTTCATGAATTATGATAGATAAGGGTAATGTTTTTTCTAACTATTCATGTTGCTGTAAATTGAAACGTGATTCTAATATATTACTTTCCAGCAGGATCATAATTAAGTTACTGTTTCTACTAGAGAATAATGTTCCTGCTGAAGGCAGGAGAAGTGTTTGGCAAGCAAGCGGGGAAATCATTAACCCGTCATTAACCTGACAGGATCAATTGTAAAAACACTCACAGGCTCAGTTTGCGTTGTATGGAGGTTAGGCCCAACATCAAGACTGATTCGCTGTGTTATTGAGCCAAAGCTTTCATTTAATCTACTTTTCCTCTCCCTCGCTCTTCATTCCAGGCTGGTTTTTCATTGGGCATCCTCCAGCTCAAGACAAATGTAGCTCTGAGTGGCCCTGGTTCTCTCTGCATGGAGTATCAGTCATTAAGATGTGCCATGTAGTGCCAAAGGTCACAAACACACATGCTCTCGTTTATTTCCAGACGGATACTCACAAGATGAAATGATATACAAGTGGAGAAAGAACTCTGTGGAGGCGGCTGACCAGAAATCCTGGCGTCTGTACCAGTTTGATTTCACGGGCCTGAGAAACACCACAGACATAATAAAGACGACAGCAGGTAAAGTCGGACAGTTCCTCACTTTCAACCTTAAAAGGCTTTTCTAATCAATGTTGACATGCATAAGATTGTATCTGCTAACTGCCAGTTCTTCATTTTATTTCATTGGAATGAACAGATCCTTTGAAGTTTAAAGAATTATTAGTATGCTGTATAAATCTATGTAAACTAACCTCTAAACCAAAAACATGAAGTTGAAAATTTTGTAGAAGAAATATCAGACCAAATGAGGTACCAGGATGACTTAAATACAGAAATTCAATGCTATTCAATTCAGTTTATTTCTATAGCGCCAATTCACAACACATGTCATCTCAAGGCACTTTACAGTTCACCAGCTCATACCGTCAAATTGATTCAAAGTTTTCTATCTAAGGAAAACCAGTTGATTGCATTGACTCATTGATTTGAATGCAATCCCTCACACTAAGCATGCTTGTAGCGACAGTGGAGAGGAAAAACTCTCTTTTAACAGGAAGAAACCTCCAGCAGAACCAGGCTCAGTTTGACCAGCCATCTGCCGAGGCAGACTGGGGTTCAAGGAGACAGAAACAGAGACACAAAAAGCAACTTTAAAAGGAGGCCCTGTTCAGGAAACACACAGCCATGCAGATGAGCTAGGAGCCAGCTGCCATGTCAGAGGATGAAGAGAGCACATCCAGCCAGTCACGGTCAGAGAAACAGGACCACACTGGAAAACAGGCATCTATAAACAAGGGTGTTGATGGAAGCAGCACAGCTGATATTTCTCTCCAGGATGGCATCACAGCTAAACAGGAACAGACGAGGCAAGGCTACTCTGAGGAAAAGCAGAGAGAGCAGAA